GATGCAAGCTAGGTAGTTGTGTTACAAAAACAGACCTTGTCCATACATCAAAGTAATTCCAAGTTTTGGCAAACTGGAGTGAGGATGACATTTGACACATTTATAGTGATGATCTGCAAACACTTGTTTGACACTCGCACATTAGAAATGATGGTACACGATGGTTCAACAACGCAATCAGTTTTATACTTGTAGTATAGTGCAAGGTATATCTTTCCCTTTCACTTTATCAGGGCCTTTTTTATTATTTTGGTTCTAGTCTTTAGTGAATGTCAAACAAAATGCTAACAAACTTATGCATCTAAAGAAGAGTTAGGAAGAGCTCATATCATAATTGTAGATTGTCATTCTCACTTGCCACCATCACTCTATAACACTTGTGTGTTGCCATCTCGTCTTTCAACATCTTATAAACAATTATATATGAAATGATAACACCATTTGTGGCAATGGCAGCAATGCTCAAGAAAACTATTCGAGCCCATAGAAATGAATTCTTGAGGCATATTAAGCACCTTAGAATCAAATTCTCAATGTGTTCATTGCTTCCCACTAAACCAAGATGACTATTGCATTGATGTAAAGGCTAGCAAGAGAGCTTACACATTTTCTTCTTTTGAGTCATTTCTAAATTGAATATAACACTTTTAATACCTTGTTTGTTGTTCTTTTCTATAGTGGATATTCCACTCTAAAACAAGATATGTTACCTACAACTAATATCATTTCATTATTTTTTTCCTTTTAAAATAGATACTATAATATTGTAAAGCAATCCTAGACCTTACATTCCATTATACGATGACTAGATAACCCCATATTTTACACTAGGTGATATAATGTTTCCCAAGGGTATCTTATTCTTCACTATAAAGCGATAGTGGCTATGTGTCTATAACTTGTTCTTGAATCTATTATACACCTATGCACATTTCTAGATTTGTCATTGAGCAATTGCTATAGTGCTCAAGAAAAGTTTATAAACCCATGGAGTCATTTGTCTTGTCCAAAAAACAATAGTATATTGGATATTGAATATAATAGTGTTTTATACTTTCAAGTAATCCCACTATGTCAAGAGCAAGATGTTACAGAAACATGTGGCACTGCTTTTGAAGCATTAAAGGCATTCCCTCTCTAGTAAAAAGATCAAGAATTTCATATATAAGGAGTTTTAGTTTAACTTCACTAAAGCCCCTAACAAAAAGATGATTATTATATGAAAGTGAAGGTGGAAAGTTGGTAGAACTTGTAGATGGAGGTGGAAATCGATATGAAATGCTAGGGGCCCAAGTATGAGTAGTGATAACTTTTCTTTTAAGCTATTCCTATATAAGTTTTTCAACTTTGCAAAGAGCTCAATAAAAAAACTATAATGACTATAATGTTTTTAGTAGTTTATATGTTAAGTTTTAGTCTTGGGAATGAGGTCTATTTATTATGACACTAATAATACTCAGATTTTTTAAATTTCAATCTCATAAATATGGCTTCATAATCATATCTTACTTGTAAACAAAAATTCTAGATTTATGTGTATACAAATGCTCAATCATTTTGATGAAAACATACTCCATTTTTTTTACAGTTATACAAACTTTCTAGGGAAATAAACTATAGAGAAATATAGACCATATTATAGTGGGCACACTGGCACTTTGGCATTCTTTTGTTTGAAAATACTTTTTAGTTTTGGAAATGTAGATAGACTTGATTTTTTAATGTGATTACTTTTGAGTCTTTCAAAGATTTTGATTTCTGGAACTTTTCAAGTGTTGTCAAGCCAGACATGAGCGATGACATGATTGCCAAGGTGTTCTAGTTCTCAGAACGTGATTATTATTATTCACAAACAACTCCCAAAAATTCCTAGTGGGGATTCACTATGAAAATATATTTTACTCTTCTCATATGGGAGGATTAAGATATACTCAAGCAAGCAGAGTTTTTTATATGAAGTATTATATAAAATATAAATGTCATGAAAAGTTTTATGAAGTAGATTTGTTAGTACTTTCCACTATATTGTTCATTTCTTCATTTCTTTTGCTATGAACTGTTATTTTACAAGTAATAGAAACATTTTTATCAACAGTGATGGTGGTTTCCACATTCCCAAATGGGTAATAAAGACCACATGAGTGTAATATGGAAACTGTGGTAATGAAATAAAGCTAACATTCTTACATTTCTTTGCACTACAACTTTTACTCAAAATGTTTTTGTTTTCCTTGCTTCCCATCTTTTCAAGAACCCTAGAATGAAGGAATAGTATATAAATATATGACAGCTGTAAATTAATAAAAAATATGAAGTAGCCAAATCAAAATATGACAATTGTAATGGTAGTTATAGTAAAATAAGATGGCTTTATAAAAGATAGGTTCTTGTTAACTTTGTCTATTTTAAACGACTCAATCTGGTAGAAATTTTTGACCAAGGTACTTACATTTTTCAATATTTTAAAGTTTGTTAGAACTTTTATTTCTTCAATTTAAATTTACTTTATCAAACTTCTAATTGACTACATTGACTTGCATTAATTTATGTTGACTTGAGCTCAACTTAATTTTGGACCATCCCCCTATATTAGGGCTTGTGGCAATTCTCTATGGTTGCCTATACAGTTAAGATCTAGATTGCTTTGAATTCCAAGCATATGTTAGAGGTTGTTAATATCACTTATAGTAACTTTTGCTAGTAATTTTTAACTATTTTATTCACTTTTTTATTTTTATTTTAATATCTTTTTTATATCTTTGAAGGGACCTTCTATTGAGCATAAGCTTCACTTTACTATACTTTAGAGTAGTATCTAAAGTCTATAAAATATTGTTAGAAATTGAATAAAATGAGTTTTTTGATATTTTAAAAGAACAATTAATCATGGCACCATCTATACTTGCTCTAGAACTCATTCTTAATTCATTTTTTATTAATTCTAATGTTATCTTAATTTTCTTAGCATCAATATTGTATAGCAGTATTGTCTACCAAAGTTGAATATATTGTCATTAGTCTAGTTACTCCTGAAATTATGGCTATAGAGACTGACTTATGATTGATATCATTAACTACATTTCTATATTGTGATAATCAATCAACTATTGCTTTGGCAAACAATCTAACTCTTTACTTTATGTCTATACATATTACCATTAGTTTGATTTGAAGTGTGTAAAAAGAATATTACTTAGCTAATATCTTTATAAAGGCTCTTTCATTACCCTTGTTTTCAAAGCATTGTGCTACTAAGTAACTATGGAAAAAAACTTTAGAAACACCAAGATGAGTGAGCATGGATAAACCACTATTGTTTAAGGACTTAAGCTTCCTTATGCCCCAGTGTTAATTATCATCACAACCATCTGGAAGTTAATCCTCCTTGACACTAAGTTCTTCAGCAGTGTTGTCATTGCTTTCCATCACACTAAAGCATTTTTTTATATTTTAACTGTCACAATTGATATAAAAGTCTTCATCCCAACCACCTTAAAAGTCACAACTTTAGAATTATTTCTAATTCACTATTAATTAATCACATTTAATCTATGGGCCCATATATATAAAAGTGGGAAAATTCATAGTACTTGAGAACCTGTTGATCCTTAGTTTATATATACTAGAAGCAGAATATACAAACTTCTGAAGAGAGAAAGAAAAAGAGTAAAAATAAAAAGGCAAGAGATTATATGGTAGAACTTGTATAACTCTCGAATCCAAATGCAAAGCGCATCCATTCCTTTGATTAAAAGAACCATGTACGCCAAGGTCGATGTGATCTTCAAGAAAAACCGTCAAAATGGAGCTATGGCGGAAGAAACGTAGAAACACGACAATGTCTTTAGCTGGGAGCACTGAAATCGGCGCTGCCCCTTCCGGCAATCGTCACCGCTTGAGGATCTCACACGTTTTTTTGATGAGCGATCGACGAGCTCCAGACTGATCTGGAACACCTTCTCGGCATCCGTGATGGCAGGATTGGATGCGAGCACGGCCTTGGCAACCACGGTGACACCGGCGTTCTGGAAGGGTGATGGAGGAATTTATGGCCTCTGCGGTGGAGAGCAGATCAAAGTCTCGCAGGTGGAACAAAGAAGTTGGAGATGAGATCGAAGCTGCCAGCGCGAAAGTGGTGGAACCGGTTTCGCAGATCAAAGCCGCTAGCTCGAAAGTGGAACCGGTTTCGACCGATCAAAGTGGCGAGCTCGCAGTGATGCACTGGAGCCGCCAGCCTCGCAGATCAAGGCCGCCAGCGAGTGGAAGGCATGGTAGCAGCGAAACCAAAGCCACCGGATGACGTCCCGCACAAGAAGAGCTAGAAGCAAGAGTGGCGATTTTTCTCGTAGAGAATGTCAAGTGAGCTTCTTTCCTTCTAGATATTCTCTTGCATTGTTAATTGTCACTAGATAGGGCTTTCTAGAGGAGCATGGGCGATCTCCCCCAGACACATGTTTCGGATCTCGCCAAGCCGCCATGGCCACATCCCCCCATGAGCTCTAGATCTGGCGGCGAAATCTACGAGGAGCTGCGCGCTCGCGGGATACGGCCGGGGATTCCAGTCGTCTTGGCCGCATTGAAGTGGTGTGGCAGCGCGCGCGACCTCCAATCTGGTAAGCGAATTCATATGGATGTTGCTAGCAATGGGGACGACTCAAACGTTTTTGTGGCCAACAGTGTGGTGGCAATGTACGCGAAGTGTGGCTCCATGGAGGAAGCTCGTCGCGTGTTTGAGAGGATCCGGGAGCACGATCTAGTGTCGTGGAACACCATTATCCTGGGCTATGCGGAGAATGGAGGCTGCGAAGAGGCCTTGGAGCTTTTCTCTCGCATGGAGGACGTCGAGGGCCTTGCTCCGAATCGAGTGACTTTCCTGGCAGCGATCAAAGCCTGCTCTCGCTTTGCTGCGAAAGAAGAAGGGAGAAGAGTTGGAGGAAAGCTTGTCAAGCTCGCAGCGCTAGAGACTGGACGAGAGATTCACGCTCGAACTGTGAGGAGCGGATTAAACTCGGACATATTCGTGGCCAGCACTCTGGTGGATATGTACGCAAAGTGTGGAAGCTTGGTGGACGCCCGGGCCGTGTTTGACAGGATGGTGAAACGCGACGTGGTTACTTGGAACTCGATCATGCTGGGTTATGCCGAGGGTGGTGACGGGCAGTCGGCTTTGGACGTTTTCTCGAGCATGAGAAGTGAAGGAGATGGCTGTGCTCCCGACTCGGTAACTTTCATCGCTCTTCTCAAGGCCTGCTCGGACTTGGCAGAGAAGGAGAGAGGCGAGAAGATAAACGGGAAAGCTGTGAAGGTTCAGTGCCTGGAGAAGGTTTTAGCAATACACTCTCTGGCTGCTCGAGATGGGTGTGGAATCGGTTCTTCGGTGGCCAACACGCTGATCTCTACGTACGCTGGTTGTGGAAGTTTAGTCGATGCCAGCGGGGTCTTTCACAGGATGATCCAGCCAACTTTGGTGTCTTGGAATGCGATGATTCTAGCTTATGCGGAGAATGGTGAAGGCGGGCTGGGTTTGGAGTTATTCGTTGGGATGCAAAGTGAAGGCTTCAGGCCGAATCGAGTTACTTTCCTTGCGGCACTGAAAGCGTGCGCGGCTTTTACAGCGGAAAGGCTACAGGGATTCGGTGGAAAGATGGTGAAACTTACGTGCTTGGAGCAAGCCATGGCAATTCACTCGCAGGCAATGAAGTGCGGTTGCAAGTTGGATCACTTCCTCGCGAACAGTTTGATCTTCGTTTACTCGCAGTGTGGAAGCTTGATGGATTCTCAGCGAGTGTTTGACAAGATGCGGACGCGCGACGTAGCTTCGTGGAGTGCACTGATTCAAAGCTATACCGAGAACAAGGAGGGTGAAGTTGCTGTTGAGCTGTTTTGGAGAATGCAAGAAGAAGGGTGGACTCCAGATCGCGTGACTTATCTCGCAGCAGTAAAGGCCTGTTTAAGCGTGGTACCAAAGGTGGAAGGCAAACAGGTGGAAGGGAAAGCTATCAAGGCTTGCTGTTTTCAGAGAGTGAAAGAGATACACTCTCGAGCTGCAAAAACTGGACTGGACCAAGACATTTTCGTGGCGAGCAGCCTGGTGGACGCCTACGCAAAGTGTGGAAACATTGGGTGTGCTCGTCGAGCTTTTGACGGGATCAAGGGCCGCAACTTGGTACTGTGGAACACTTTGATTCTCGGCTATGCCGAGAACGGGGACGGAGAATCAGCTCTTGAGCTCTTCGACCGCATGCAAATAAGGGACAGGATTCTACCAGACGCTCGGAGTTACGTTGCGGTTCTCAAGGCCTGTGCTAGTGCTGCAACAAGAAGCGAGGCTCGCAAGCCGGAGTTCTTGCTTAAAGGCAGGGACATCCACTCCAGAGCCGTGAGCATGGGGCTTGAGATGGAGATGTTCGTCGCGAGCTCCCTGGTGGACATGTACGTCAAGTGTGGCAGCCTGGAAGAAGCTCGCGAGGTTTTCGACAGGACGAAGCACCGAGACACAGTTTCCTGGACGGCAATGATCATGGGCTATCAGGAGAACGGCGAGAGCGGCACTGCTCTGGAACTCTACTCGCGAATGCTGGCGGAAGGCTGCTGTTCTCCAGACTGCGTCACCTTCGTCGCTGTTCTCAAGGCCTGCGGAAGCCTCGCAGCTATGGCAACCGGCAGAGAAGTTCACGCGCTGATCCGTAGTGCTCGACTCGACATGGACCCGATTGTTGGAAACTCTCTGGTGGATTTCTACGGCAAATGCGGCAGCATGGTGGAAGCCGAGCGAGTGTTTGCCACTCTTGAAGGGAGGAGAGACTCGGTAACTTGGAACGCTCTAATAGCAGGATACAGCCATCAAGGAAACACCGCCAAGGTGTTTGAATCGTTCGAGAGGATGCAAGAGGAGCGGTGCAAGCCCGATGCCGTGACTTTCCTCTCGGTTCTCACAGCTTGCAGCCATGCCGGACTGGTCGATCGAGGCAGGGAGCTCTTTGAGACGATGAAGAAAACAGGCGATTTAGCTCTTGGGATCGAGCACTACTCTTGCATGGTGGATTTGCTGGGACGAGCAAACCGGATCGAGGAGGCTGTGGGTGTTTTGAGGAGCATGCCGGTGGAAACAAACGTGAGGATTTGGATGGCGGTGCTGGCGGCGTGTGCGAAGTGGAAGAATGTGGAGTTTGGAAGGGTAGCGTTTGAGGAGATTGTGAGGATGGAGGAGAAGAAAGCTGCGGCTTACGTTCTCATGGCGAATATCTATTCGGCTGCGGGGAGGTGGGAAGAGCATGCCCAGCTTGAGCAAATTATCTCCAGAGCCGAATCTTGAATTACATCCATTTGAGTAAAACTTCACAGACTGATTGTGATCACTTCTTGAAGTTTTATCAAACCAGTGAGCAAGCAAAACCAATGTCAAAAACAAGGAGTATCCAGTTAACCTTAACTCGTCCATGTTTTACAAGTTCAACTCTATCAAAACATCAAGATTGAACAAAGCTATATTATTTCTAATTAGAAATATGATAATTATACTTTTATTTTCTATTTATGAATGTACATAAAAAGGAAATAAAAATCTAACTCTGGCTTAATTTAAAGATTGGGAAAAAAGTAGAGCTTTCTAGGTATTTACTCATGGCTAACAGTTCTTCTTCGCTACAATCACAGTCTTTCCTCCGGGCCTCCCACCACCACCACATTAAAGCAACTTTGGCTTCTTTGGGCAGCACTGACAACATCTTCAATAGTGATTCAAACAACTTCCCTTTAGCAGCAAATGTTTGGCAGCAACAACAAGAACACATCAACAATCACTCTTCCCAGATCTCACCGAAGATCACAAGCCTATGGTTTTGGGCCTGGGAAGGACCTGGTTCTTCGACTTGGGCTCCTTGGTGAATCATCCTCACAACAATCCGCCGAGATTTGGGCAGTTGCCAGGGACGGCTTGTGCTTCAAGCCATGAGAGACGGCTTCGCTCCCATCAAGTATGTGCTCGGGGCCAAGATCACGGATATGGCAGAAGGGTAACAGTTCATCGTACACTGTACAGTGCCTAAGCCATATGCCAGCTACAGGATAAATATGTTGCTGGATCTTGAGTGCAATGTATGCGGGGAGGGGACGAGAACAAAAGCGCTGCTGCCGTGCAACCATCTCATGTGTGAGGAGTGCGCGGTGCAAATATCGACCATCCAGATGAAGTGCCCGATTTGCAGCCAGTGGATCAAGTCGTGTCCGGAAGACATGGGGGAGGCATACAAACCCGTGATGAAGGAAGAGGAGGAGGAGGAGGGGCGAGCCGCGCGGCGCGAAAGGCCGCCAGCCTCGTCCAGCTGCTCAGTGCATAGTGAGCGATCTTCTTCCTCCTATCTTAGTCATAGCTAGGCAAGGAAGAAAAGCCCGTGGGATTATATCTCGCGGAAACCTTGTAATTAAGATTATCCGCATTACTTTGTGGATGGTGAAACTATCTCAAACGAAGTTGGTAGGACCGATATATTGCATGGACCAGATAATTGTATGGAAAACGTGCACCGAATAGAACAAAAAGGATTTCTCTCCCAAGTATATGGCTACGTGTATGGTGCAAAATACGGATCACACGGAAATAAAAAAACGTGGCTGATAGCTCGGATAGTATAAAAGACCCTTCTCCAGCCTCTGTTTCCTCAACCCACAGAGGAGTAGAAAACAAAAGCAGCCATTCTCCAATCAAGTTGATCAGATCGATCAATTTCAACATGGCTGCAATCGTGTTGATGATTGCGTTTCTCGTGATGGCTGCAGCATGGAAGATGGTGTGTATCCGCAAGAGAGAAGAGAGGGCACGATTTCTAGCGTCGCTCCACCCCGTGAGAGACGCACACAAGATCCTGTGGTACATGTACTCGGTGGAATTCCCCTTCCTCTCGCAAAAGGCGCTCGAGTTTGGCACAATCCGCACGCTGGGCATCCCGGGGATCACAAATCTGCTCTTCAAGACCAAGTACGGCCTCAAGGATCCGCAGAAGCGCGCCGCCGAGACCAACATTCTGGTGAGCGAGATGATCCACCACCACGTCGACAGCGATCGCGGCTCGTACGCGGTGAGGAGATTGAATGGAATCCACAACAAATTCAAGATCCCAAACGACCAATTCGCCTACGTCCTCTGCCTCAACGTGGTCAGCCCCATTGATTTCTCCGAGAGATTTGGATTCCGCAAGTGGACCGACAGCGAGAAGGAGGCCGCGTATGTTGTGTGGCACGACGTGGGCGTGAGGATGGGCATCACAACCATCCCAGATAGCATTCCAGAGATGCGGGAGTACATTCGCGATTACGAGGCCAAGAACGCCATCTTCACGGACAAGAACAAGAGCATCGTCCAGGATCTCAAGCATCTGGTGCTGGATGCATTTCCTCACCCCGTGCAGCCGCTGGTCGAGACTGGGATCTGTGCACTCATCGATCCCACAATCAGGAGCGCTGTTGGATTGGAAAGGCCTCCAGCAATTGTGGAGTGGATCATCTTGGGTGCGTTCAAGCTGCTGGCCGGGAGCTTCGTGTCCGCGTTCTTGCCTCCCAGACGTGTGGAGGATGCAAAGGGCAGCATTGAGGTGGACTGGTGTCCCAATCCCGCTGCCAATCCGGAAGAGTACCGGCAGCTCAACGTGAATGTGTATCGCCCACCAGCATTCGAGAAGGGATACAAGCTGGCGGAGCTGGGAGCGCTGAAATCAGGCAAGCTTGGACCATACTACGATGGAGGCTTGCGCTGCCCCTTCCGGCAAATGCACGCATAGGAATAGGACGGGCATAGGACATTCGGTCGGAGAACAGAGCATCATTTAAAAATGCGTAGTTTACATGAATCTTTTTGTAATTTTAGCGGAAAGGTGGCTAACAAAACCAGATATTCGAAACAAAATTTAGTTTTATCCAAATGGGGAAAAAGAATATCATACACAAAGAGAAACACACTTTTTTCTTTCAAGTGGCCATGATGACCTCCCGGAGGCGGTCGACGAGCTCCGGATTGATCTGAAACGCCTTCTCAAGCACAGCATCGGTGATGGCGGGATTGGACGCAAACACGGCCTTGGCAACTGCGGTGACACCTGCGTTCTGGGAGTTGAATCCCGCGAGAGCCACGGCGGGGGTCTCGCCGACATTGAGCGGGAAGTGCACAAGGCCCCGAGGGAACACGAAGAGATCACCCGGATGCAAGGTCTGCGCGAAGAGCGTGTTGTTGGTGGTGCTCACGAATCCCGCGTAGAGAGTCCCCTGCTGAACGTAGAGGATCTCAGTGCCCCGGGGATGGACGTGCGGTGCATTGACACCGAATGGAGCGTAGTCGGCCCTTGCGAAGGAGACTCCGAGGGTGTTGAGCCCCGGGAAGGAGGTCACGTTTGCGGCGGTGACGGCGGAGCCAAGCTTGTTGTTGGTGTTCCCGGATTTCTGAAGGCCCGAGAACTTTGAAGTCGGCAGCGGCGGTGGCGGCAGCGGGCTTGCAGGTGAAGCCGTTGATGATGGGGGCAGTGGCGCTGGTGTCGCGCACGCAAAAGTCTTGGAGTGCGTCCGGGTCGGCAAGTGAGAATGCAGCAGAGATGGTGACGAGGATCGCGAGGAGAATTGCACGGGAACTAGACATGGAGATGATCTTGTTTTGAAAACTCTCTTCGCTTTGCTTTCTTGGTGATAGAAACCAGGAGATTTAGCAGATCGATGTTGTTCTTTCTTGAGAAGCTCCTTGTTGCTCCTGAGAGATGAAATGTTGCCCTGAAATGTTTGGTGGCTTGGGATGAGATGCTTGGTAGGATCTCAAAGCTATGATCGTTTATATAGTTGCAGAAAAACACTGACTTTGTCAAACTGATGTTTCCGAGGATGACGAAATCCAGTGTGTAGGGAGTTGCAAAACAAAAGGCAATGCGTATATCAAACTATTCCTATGCCTGGTGCCGGCCCACCTTTGTGCAGTTCATCTCCACCATGGTCGGTAGCACCATATTAAAGAAGCATTTTCTTGGATTTTAAAGAAATAAATAAGAAACACAACTTTGATCAAGAACTTTCCTCTGGAAGAGTAAGAGCTGTGGAGGAGGATCGTCAGGAATCAGTGAAGTGTGAAGGGCCCTCTTTTGCAGTGAAGCATGAAAAACCCAATATACTCACGAGCATTTACTCTGAACGTATTGTTCCTCTTCAGCTAGAAAAAAAAAAGAAAGAAACTATGCGATGAAAACCAAGCATCAATCGCTTCCTCTTTTGAGTCATGTTGAACATGTTGGGTCCTGATTTAGTGCTGACGTGGAGTTATATTTGCTGATGTGGCAAATAACAAATGCGAGAAGCTCTGGCCTCTTTCAGTGATTTCATTAGTGCCGCTCAACGCTGCGCCCGGATCAAACACAAAGCGACTATAAGCCTCAAAAAAGGAGAAAAAGTACTTTTTTTCACCTGAAGAGCATGGCACCGGCAGTGAGAACGAGGCGCAAGCGGAGAGGTTTGCTACAATGGAATGCCAGGGGAGTCATTGGACAAGCAAGATCAGAAAAAGAAGAAGCACGAACGAACGGCGAGTCCAGGAAGCCCAAGCAAGAAGTTTGGTCGCGCCTTCCTGATGACGGACAGAGTTCTCTGGGCGGTTGCAGGCGTTCCACCACTCAAAAGCCATCTAACTCGCAGACGTGGCTACTGTTCCTTGCTCCGTTCCTTGCACGCAGATAACCTCGGATAACAGAGCCTGTATGAATCGAAAGATATCAGTCCTTCCTGTTGCTTATCTTCTTGCATTTTAGAGAACCCAAACCCAAAACCAACAAAACCAAAAGCTCGAGAAGAATCAAGTGATGAAGAAGACTGAAAACTTAACAAAAGCTCGAAGCAAGATAAGAGGAAACAATCGCGAAGAGAGAAGAAAGAAAGAAAAAGAACTAAGATGGCGACAAAGGATGGAAGCTCGCAGCAAGAGATCAAGGCCGCGAGCTTCCAGCCGCGAGTGCAAGGCATGATAGCAGCGAGACCAATCCCTCCGGATGTGGAAGTGATCTACGTCCCGCACAAGATCAAGAGCAATGACTCGGGCTTAAAGAGGCTGCTGAAAATCGGCCGGAGCTTGGTCAGGAACTAGGACGCAGACAGTGTGGAGATTTTTATCGTAGAGAATGTGCCTTTTATACTGGTTTTGTCTACGGCCAATGCGGCAGCATGGTGGAAGCCCGGCGAGTGTTTGCCACTCTTGAGGGGAGGCGAGAGTCGGTAACTTGGAACGCACTGATAGCAGGGTACCGCCATCCACGAAACACCGCCAAGGTGTTTGAATTGTTCGGGAGGATGCAAGAGGAGTGGTGCAAGCTGGATGCTCCAACATTCCTCTTGGTTCTCACGGTTGCCGGACTGGTCGATCCAGGCAGGGAGCTCTTCGAGATGCTGAAGAAAACATGCGATTTAGCTCTTGGGATCGAGCACTGCACTTGCACTTGCCTGGTGGATTTGCTGGGAGGAGAAAACCAAATCGAGGAGGCTGTAGGTGTTTTGAGGAGCATGCCGGTGGAAGCAAACGTGAGGATTTGGATGGTGGTGCTGGCGCGTGTGCGAATTGGAAGAATATGGAGTTTGGAAGGGTGGTGTTTGAGCTTACGTTCTCATGGCCAATATCTATGCGGCAGCTGTAGGGAGGACCCAGCTTGAGCAAGAACCAAATCTCGATGAGTAAAACTTCACAGAATGATGGGGATTACTTGAAAGTTTGGTGACATAATGACTATGCTCCACATTTTGTGCCCTGGGTTAAATACGAGCAACTCGCTTAAAAGGCCGCCCAGCAGCGGGGAAAGAAGCAGTGGCAGTATGAAGTCCTTACTATCATGCTCGATCAAACCAGTGAGCCAGCCACTAGTCATTGTTGCCTGCATAACAAGTGTAGAGAGAAGTAGCTTGAGTTGTGTTAACTATTTCTTACAATTTTTTGCTATGGAAACAACAAAAAAATCAAGATTGAAAGTAGTAAAACCACGTAGGTAGGCAGCAACAACAAGGTAGTAAAACCACAACTTCCTTTAGCAGGCAGCAACAACAAGAACACATCAACAATCACTCTTCCCAGATCTCACCAAGATCACCCCAATATCACAAGCTTACGGTCTTTGGCCTGGGATTGAGCTGGTTCTTCGACTAGGGCTCCTTCGTGGATCTCATCCTCACGACAATCCTTGGAGATTCGGGCAGTTGGAGATTACGGCTTCGCTGCCATCAAGTACGTGCTCGGGGCCAAGATCACGGCTATGGCGGAAGGGTGGCAGCCCATCGTACGCTGTACGGTGCCTAAGCCGAATGCCAGCTACAGGATAAATATGATCCTGAGTGCAGTGTATGCGGGGAGGGGACGAGAACAAAAGCGCTGCTGCCGTGCAACCATCTCATGTGTGAGGAGTGCGCGGTGCAAATATCGACCATCCAGATGAAGTGCCCGATTTGCAGCCAGTGGATCAAGTCGTGTCCGGAAGACATGGGGGAGGCATACAAACCCGTGATGAAGGAAGAGGAGGAGGAGGAGGGGCGAAGGCAAGGAAGAAAAGCCCGTGGGATTATATCTCGTGGAAACCTTGTAATTAAGATTATCCGCATTACTTTGTGGATGGTGAAACTATCTTAAACGAAGTTGGTAGGACCGATATATTGCATGGACCAGATAATTGTATGGAAAACGTGCACCGAATAGAACAAAAAGGAATTCTCTCCCAAGTATATGGCTACGCGTATGGTGCAAAATACGGATCACACGGAAATAAAAAAACGTGGCTGATAGCTCGGATAGTATAAAAGACCCTTCTCCAGCCTCTGTTTCCTCAACCCACAGAGGAGTAGAAAACAAAAGCAGCCATTCTCCAATCAAGTTGATCAGATCGATCAATTTCAACATGGCTGCAATCGTGTTGATGATTGCGTTTCTCGTGATGGCTGCAGCATGGAAGATGGTGTGTATCCGCAAGAGAGAAGAGAGGGCACGATTTCTAGCGTCGCTCCACCCCGTGAGAGACGCACACAAGATCCTGTGGTACATGTACTCGGTGGAATTCCCCTTCCTCTCGCAAAAGGCGCTCGAGTTTGGCACAATCCGCACGCTGGGCATCCCGGGGATCACAAATCTGCTCTTCAAGACCAAGTACGGCCTCAAGGATCCGCAGAAGCGCGCCGCCGAGACCAACATTCTGGTGAGCGAGATGATTCACCACCACGTCGACAGCGATCGCGGCTCGTACGCGGTGAGGAGATTGAATGGAATCCACAACAAATTCAAGATCCCAAACGACCAATTCGCCTACGTCCTCTGCCTCAACGTGGTCAGCCCCATTGATTTCTCCGAGAGATTTGGATTCCGCAAGTGGACCGACAGCGAGAAGGAGGCCGCGTATGTTGTGTGGCACGACGTGGGCGTGAGGATGGGCATCACAACCATCCCAGATAGCATTCCAGAGATGCGGGAGTACATTCGCGATTACGAGGCCAAGAACGCCATCTTCACGGACAAGAACAAGAGCATCGTCCAGGATCTCAAGCATCTGGTGCTGGATGCATTTCCTCACCCCGTGCAGCCGCTGGTCGAGACTGGGATCTGTGCACTCATCGATCCCACAATCAGGAGCGCTGTTGGATTGGAAAGGCCTCCAGCAATTGTGGAGTGGATCATCTTGGGTGCGTTCAAGCTGCTGGCCGGGAGCTTCGTGTCCGCGTTCTTGCCTCCCAGACGTGTGGAGGATGCAAAGGGCAGCATTGAGGTGGACTGGTGTCCCAATCCCGCTGCCAATCCGGAAGAGTACCGGCAGCTCAACGTGAATGTGTATCGCCCACCAGCATTCGAGAAGGGATACAAGCTGGCGGAGCTGGGAGCGCTGAAATCAGGCAAGCTTGGACCATACTACGATGGAGGCTTGCGCTGCCCCTTCCGGCAAATGCACGCAT